AGTTCCAGCTCTTGTTCCAAACCATGGATTTTCAAGTCACAGCTCAACTTTTCCACCTCCCAGTTTGATGAAGGTGGATTTAAATTCCTCATCACTACAAAAAGGATAGATATCAAAATTATTATCTTTGCTTTCTACATTGATTGCAATTCTTAAAAAGTTATGCTGGTAAAATGTAGATAAAAGAAAAACTAATATAAAACATGAAAAGCAATAGTTTTTTAAAAATAGTAATTACTTCCAAAGTCTATGCTAATGATAATAAAAAAATCTAGCAATCTTGTTTTACAATATATTAATCACCTAATTTCTCAGTTTCTATATAAGTGAAAGTTCTAATTTGTCATTCTGCTTTTAAAAGATGCTACGCTAAAATCAAGCATACACTAAAATTGCAGACAGATCAATAATCTGTTTTATAAAAGTCAAGGTTTAGACTGTGATAAAAAGAAAAAGCTAAATAAACTGAGGTTTAGCTAATCATTCCATCAAGTCTCAAAGTATACACTTTGATCAACAAACCTATAACATGATCTCAAAATAATTTTATTCATAAACATGACACTATAGAAATTCAATTTAACTGGATACTACTTTATCCTTGATTTAGTACAGCAGTCTATCTACAAAAAGCCCCAACTAACTAACACAAGAGATCTTATCTCAATCTCTCAAAAGGTCTCTCAGAAGCTTACTCTTCTTCAGCTTATCTAATCAGAATGTTCATGGGAACAGGCTGTTATCCACATCCTCCAGACCTATCTGTGGACTCCAACATGTCATCTCTACCTTTTAACAACCTACAGACAGAAAAGCAAAGTAATTCTAACTATTCCATGATAGTATGTCTAACTGTGGACAAGATGTTCAGTAAGAAGGAAAAGCCAGGACATATCAGTGGAGTAGAAGTTTTGACTTCTACTGCAAATAATTCTGGGTTCTACTCCTTCGCTCCTCTACTTCATCACAAATGAACCCTGAATAAAAACCATCAAATTTTCTCACAGACAATTTACAGCTAAGAAAAAGTTAAAAGGAGTTGACACTGTGTGAGAGCAGAACAGAAATTAACATAAGCCTAAAAATTAAAAAAGTTAAGGCTTTAGCCTTTTCTATAACAGATATAGAAAACTGATGATAGATATAAAACGTAAATGGAAAAATGTATTAATTCTGTTAGAATATTTATAACAAGCAAGTGGCATACCCTGCTGAGTTTCCACCTCTGTCCTTAGCTGGAGGAGTTCTACTTCTTTAGACTGTAGCTGTTCATTCAATACTTTCAAAGATTCAGAGTTGTCTTTATTCTAGTTAAGCAGGGAAAATGCCAAATTACATTCAATAAAATCTGTAGTTTGGTATTATATCTTAATTTTCAGGTAAACATTGAAAAAACTCACTCTAGCCTTTAAAAGCAAGGTAAGAAAATGAACTCAGTTTCTCACTAATCTTTGTCTTTTTCTAATTGAGGAAATTATTCTTCATTTTAATTCTACCATGTCGTGATTTTTCAAAATAAGTTAGTGGTGTTAGATGTATTTAAGTTCTAAACATCATTACATACTAAGTATTTATATTGTACAAAATAACTTACAAATATTACTAAAAATTTCACTTTTGCTTTGAACATATATATTTTAAAACTGTAATTATTATATTAAATGTAAATATTTAACTTATTTCTAATTTCAAACCTCTTAAAGAAGAAAACTCATTTGCAATATAAAAATTTCACTCTTTTCAAACCAACTTACCATTTTATCTAATTTGCTCTTCAAATTATCTCTATCAATGCAAACCTCTCGATATGCATGATAGGCCTTATTTACTTGTTCTCGTCCCACAGAAC